AAAAATCACAACAATAGTTTCAAAACTCATTTTGGTACTCAAATCATTTTGGTACCACTAAAATTTGGAACATGACCCCTATCATTTAAATCCAATGCCCTAGGGTTATGAACCCGCTTGGGTGTATTTTGTGCACTGATACGATCAAAGCAAAAATCGTAAACATGACCCATACAATTGCAATTTGTACAATGTAGAGGTTTGAATGGTTTGCGTTGACTGAAATGAAATGCACGTGGTTTATTTGTAAAAATAGATTTTCCTTTGTAATTATTTTGCAAACGAGAATTTTTTTTCAAATCGAAACAAAACATGGCCAAATGACCAAAACGACCACAATAATCACATTTATACACATGAGCATGTTTATGATTTACACTATGTATGTGTACATGTGTATGTGATGAAGAAGCTTGATGGGATGCATAATCATGAATAGGCTTGTCAATTTTTGGTGCATTATGACAAAATTGAGCTAAATGGCCTTTAAGACCGCAAATAGAACATTTGTGAATTTTGTCATACATATGTGCATAGTGAATAGGTTTCTTAGAAGAATTAACATTAAACTTTGCACATAAGTGCATAAGCTTTTTATTATTAGCAATACAAGTGTTTAGTGTTGAATCTAAGGTGGATATACGTTTTCTCATTTGATTCAACTCATCATTGTGCATACAAGCATTGCTACTAGAAGTAGGATAAATAAGATTTTTCATCATAGATTTCAACTTATCTACTTCTAACATAGCATCACGTTTTTCATGAAGCAAACTAGCATTTTCAATTCTCAATTTTTTATTTCATTATTTAAGAATTATATTTTCATTTGCAATAAAATTAAACTTAGTGGCTAGTGTTTCATGAGTGGATTTTATATTTACATACTTACTCTTTACATCAATATAGCAATTGTGTAACTTTTCAAACTCAAGAGCAAGTTCATCAGAAGTAATAATATCATCGTTATCAAGCTCGCATACCTCACTAGGATTATCACCTAGTGGTATTGTACATGGAGATGAGGCTTCTTTAGAACTTAAAGTGGAATTTTCCAACGCTTGTTGAATAGCCTCCAAGTCCCCTTCATGTGCTTCAATAAATTTTCATAAGACGTAAGCACTATCAAAATTAGCAAATTTATTAGAAAATGAAGAGTGAAAAGCATTAAGCAAATATTCTAACAAAAGCTTGTTCATATTAAACGATCTTTTATCATTTTCACTCCATTTGGATTTTTCCAAAATCGGAGCAATATAGTCTTTTATCATTTTCACTCCATTTGGATTTTTCCAAAATCGGAGCAATATAAGCATCCTCAATAATTTCTCATAAATCAAATTGTTTAGATGGAACAAAAAGTTTGAATCTAACACGCCATTGAGCATAGGAGAAAATATCCAAACGATGAGCAACATTAATAGCATAACCTAGACTAGATGCATCATACATATCCATAAGATTATATGCAAGAAGCAAAAAGCAATCAACACTAGATTAGCACAAAAACGATAACTTGGATCTTTAACTCAAGACGATTAGTCCTTAAATCAAAGAGCACCAAGCTCTGATACCAATTGTTAGACCCTAGAGGGTGGGTGATTAGAGTCTTATGCTAATCTAATCCCGATTAAAAGCTAATTAAAATTATGTTTGATTAATTTGTTCTTGCAAGAATGATATAAGAAAGATATGAGCAAGAGAGATATGAATAAGCACAAATAAAAAATACGCTAAGTAAAACACAAACAAACGATATGTTTACGAGGTTCGGTCACCACGACCTACGTCCCCGCTCCTCACCTCGAGGAGATCTCCACTATCACAATCCGGTTTGGAAGCTGAAACTTCTACACACTCGGTTTACAAGCTTACCGAAAAACTCTCACACAACAAATACTATGCAATCACACTTTACACACTAAGTGTAGGAACCTAGCCCGTGTCCTCCTCTTCAAGTGCTCGGATACAACCTCTCCCTAGGTTCGTCAACCGACGACACTCCTATTGGATTTGACCCCGTCTCACGCCTCACACTTCTCTCGGTGTACAAGTGTATTACAAGTGATTCTCATAATAAAAGGTAAATACAATGATTTGTTCTCAATAACAAGTGAGAACACAATGAAGCTCACACTCACTAAATCACACACCAATACCCATAATATAGTATGAAGATATTAAGCTCAATATGTGTGTGTGTGTGTGTGTGATAACAGTGAATTAAAATAATACAACTCAATAAATATAGCTAAATAAATATAGTAAGCTATATAAGGAAGAGTTTTAGAAAACTTCTCAATAAACAAGAAGAGTAGTAGATGATGATCCCAATAGGAATTAAAAGCCACTTCTTGTTGTAGAAAACTTCTCTTGAAGTAGATTAACGAAAATTAGCTTAACAGCTCTTTAAACGCCTCTTAAACCTTTGTTAAAACTTCTTGTAAAAACAAAAACTCTTGGTTTTCTTGGTTACTGAAATAGAAGAGCAATGGGGTATTTATACCCACTCAAGAACTCAGCAAAAACCAACTTAAAATGACCAAAAAGCCTCCAGAGAATCAAATCAGAAACTAGTCGTTGGAATACAATCATGAGCTCGGCGGTCGACCGTGGAAATCTCGCGGTCGACCGCGAGGCACAAAAAATCTAAGTTTAGAAATTAAAAGCTGGCGGTCGACTATGTATATAATAAAGTATGAATGAGCTGTAAACATGAAATAAAAGTTATTGTAACAACGTTTGATGAAAAATCATTTATATGATAGAAAACATCAAATCTGTGTTAAGTGTACATATATTGAGCTTACATATAAACATACAATATATGTAAGCAAACTAAACTTATACCAGGTGTAGCACACACATGAACTTGAATCTTTAACTTTTGATTGCCGTGTGTAGAAATACCTGTAAGGAAAAACCAAAAACAACAAAGACTAGAAAACATATTAGCGATAAATTGTTTAACAAATCATCATCAAAACTATAGGGCCAACAGAAGAGAGAGAGAGAGAGAGAGAAGGCAGCGAGGCTGGGGGGAATGGGTACAAGGGGTATTTTGGTCTTATCGCGTCAACTTTTCTCTCAAAGTTACCTTGGAAATGAAAAAAGGACTGAATCATTATTAACTTGAGTTTTGGAGGCTTTGTCACCCAAAAAAATACAGGGGGGCTATTCACAACCCATTTCTTTTTTTGGGGCCTTGAAATATTTTTCCCTAAGTTTTTTGTTAAAAAAGAATATAATTTTGAAATATAAATTCTTCTTTCAAAATTCTTATATTTTGATAAAATTAATTTTTTAAAAAATAATATTTATTTTTTAAAATAGTTTCTTGGGAGAATAATATCTTTTCAAAATTATAATATTTTGTATCTATCTGCTTTTCACTCAATCTAAAAATATATTTTAAAGATAATATAATTGTAAAAATATGGATTCTAAAAAATTTCATTTTTAAGAAAAGGTTTTTATTAAATTAAAAAATTCTTTAAAATAAAATTTTTCCTAAAAGTAGCATTTTTCTAAAAAATATTATTCTTTAAGAAAATATTTTCTAAAATATATTTCTCAAAATTTTATATTTTTAATGCTAAAATTATTTTATAAAATTATTTTAAATCTTTACTAAAGCTCTTAGTTATTTTTTTATTTTAAATAGTGATCCTGATATTTGGATTTTTTATTAAAATTTTGGCTAGTTGCAAGTGTGACTTCTGCTCAAAATTGCATAAGTCAAAAGCTACAATTATTTTAAATCTTTAATAAAGCCCTTAGTTATTTTTAAATTTTTAAATAGTGATCTTGATATTTGAATTTTTTTCTAATTAATTTTGGTTAGTTGCAATAAGGTTGCAAGTGCGACTTCTGCTCAAAATTGCACAAGTCAAAAACTGCAACAGGAGAAGCATTTGCAAATGTAGTTTCAACTATAAGATCTAATTGCAATGAAACAAACACTTGCAACTAAAAAAAAATGATAGAATTGCATGCAACTATGGTTACAAATCTTACAGTAACAACCTACCAAACGCACCCCAAGAATAACGTGAAAGTAGCTTCAAGGTAAGATTAGTTCTTGTCAAATTTCCACAGTTTTGTGGTGGCCGATGACTTTGAAATAACAAGTCCAAGAATAGCAAGGCTCTGAAGATGAGGAAAGACCAATTCATATCTGAGAGAGTGCTCCTCCTCAGTTTTTCTACAGGCCGCCCTTCACTAGATTAGACTGGGGAAGGTTCCATCACCCAACACGGACAACGTTCAGGAAATCAAATTCTTCAATTAAAAGGAACAAAAGCGTGTGTTCTTTCCTTAAATGCGAAGAACTTCACATCACACTTTATCTCTACCGGCACAAAAGTAGTCTGGGTTTTATAATATAATTGTCACTACTCTAATAATCAAGCAAACACCGAGTAGACTAGACATTCAATAGATATTAGCTAATCTCGCTCAGTAGTCTCTTGTGAGCGACCGAACAGGCATAATACTACTTATTTACGAGTTTAGCAAACAAAAAGTACCTCTACACATCGGAGTTTATTGATGTAACTGCAGTTTAGCTAAATTGCTGTAAAAGTTATTGAAAAAAACCCACAGTATAATTAAAAGAGTTTTTCCCATAAAAACAACCTCAAAAAATAGGGTCACTATACAGAAACCACATTTCATTTTTAATTTATATGTAAACCATCTTTAAACTAGGTTTTTGTCCCCATCAACCACCCTAGGTCAAAATTCTCTAAAAATCCAAAAATATCTTTAAAAACCCACATTCAAGACAAGCAACTCGCCTCATTAACGTTTAGATCTAGTTAGGATACAAGTCACGTACTCTAGACGTGCATTTGTTTTTTAGTGAAGATTTGACTAAAGGTGGTTTGAGTGGAAGAAAAACACACTTTAACGGTGATTTGAGTATAAATTGAAAATAAAATGTGGTTTCTGTATAATAACCTCATTTTTAAGGGGTTTTCATGAAAAAAAATCCAAACTAAAAATGCATGTAAAATACAACTACAATGACACTTCGAACAAATCAATTACATCATCAGAGAAGTCTAGAAAGTTTATCAATCTCAAAAACAGACCAACAAAGATCAAAATTTACAGGAAATTCAACAAGCACAAGAATCACAATGCTTGCAGGTTTGAACTCACAGGGAAATCGAACTACTAGATTTTGGCAAGGATTTGCAGAAGGAAGCAAAACCGTCTCTGATGTCATGAGGAAGTGGAAGAGTAAATGGTGGCAGTACATTTTGGTGAGCAGAGATGCTCCCATTGCTCGCTAACAGTGAGTGTGCTAATGCTGGCTGTTGCTTGTTCAGACCCTCCATAATGCACGAGAATGCTCCGAAAGTGACGCAGCTTTGAAGTAGAGCCTGTGGTGCACCTGGAATAAATGAAATGCCTTAGAACATATTTGTGTTTACTATAATTCGAAGCTGTGAAGAAAATAGTACTCCTTAAGAAAGGTTACTTGCAAGCACATATGTTCACGCACTACAATTGCTTAGGCATCAACAGCTAAAGCAATATTCTTAAAGGAACAATAACCCATCTTCCCGCAGCTCAATCACAGTCACTTGGTGCCGCACTGAGAATGAATTAAAGAGAGAGAAAATTGTATTTAACTTTTATACTTTCACGCCATCATTCTAAATTTCGCTTAAACTAAGCTCACATGGATAACATGTGACCTGTTTCAATGACAGAGATATCCTTGAAGAAAATAAGAAATCGTCTGTCTTCTCTCGAGATTTAGGGGCATTTTTGTCTTTAGAAAAGGTATCCATGTGACTTTATTTGAGGGGAAATTAAAATGGCAGTAAAAGTGTTAGATTTAAAAGTTCAGGGGGTGTTTTGGTCACTTCTACAAACCTTAGGGGATTTTCTGTAATTTTTGCTTTTGTTTATAAGTATGTCGGATCTTACTAGCAGGTAAAAAGTATGATCCCATTTAGACTTTGGTTAAGTTATCTCTTCACGTAATGGCCGTTTAGGCTGCTGTAAAAATAAAGTGGCAGCAAGTGCTACAACACAAATATTGCATATAGCATTTGTTGCAACTTGCGTGAAATTTATTTCATATCCATCATTTGGTGTCTCTGCAACTTTATATGGAAAAGGTATATTCAGTATAACTACAGTGTTCGGTTGAAAATAAATTAATGCAAAAACTACAAGATTTGGTGTAGCGATCAAACAACCACAAAATGTATGCAGAGTAGGGGTGTGCAACGGTCGGTTCGGTTCGGTTTTTACCAAAATTTGAACAACCGAACCGAACCGTCTATAATTCAAAACCGAACCGAACTATTGCAAGTCGGTTCGGTGCGGTTCGGTTCGGTTTGTTCGGTTCTAACTTCATCAAACTTCTTATCAAACAACAAACTATGTTAAAGAAAAAAAGATATCAACAAAGTAGGAGATTATGAAGCATTAAACACTGATATAATGATATTATTTTCAACCCATAATGATTCAGAAAATGAGTTTAGGGTTTGAGTCTTTGACTCTTTGGGGACGGGTCGGGTAGGGTTTAAGATCAGAATGGGTAGTATTGCACTATATTCGGTCGGTTCGGGTCGGTTCGGGTTAAAAAGTTTTCAAACCGACCCGAACCGCCCTACTCATAAAACCGATTTTTTCGGGTCGGTTCGGGTCGGTTTTTTCGGTTTGGACCGAACCATGCTCAGCCCTAATGCAGAGTACAAATTTTTCACAGCATTGGAGCAAAACTTCATGCTACGTAGGAATGATATTCAGGAAGGACACAGCATAAGCAGTTCATCCATATCCAATTACATATTCCACAGGCAATAATCCATGCATAGGCTTGTGCATAACAAAAAATTAATATACATGGCGGACTAAATGCGGCAACACATATGACCTTAATTGAAAACTTTGCCAAGTTCAAACATTGCCCTATTAAAAGGATTAGTATGGTTAAAGAGTAGATTAGCTCAATTTCCACTCAACTAAAAGTTTGATACTGAGTACAGTCAAATGAGACTAGAACATGGTTTTTGCCTTTAAACCCAAAGTTTTACCCCACTTTATTATTAAACCCATGTGCTTTTATTTGTATTCGTAAACCCAAACAACTATCCGTAATCACCTTTAAATCCAAAAGCATCTAAAACAAGATTTACATACAGTGTATCTCTTAAAAAATATAGCAAAACCCAAATTTCCCCGCACGTTAGCAAAGAACCCATTGTTTGTAATGGGATCTCCCTCCTTCCTCCACCTCCTCTTCTTCAACCTTCATCGCCACCATTACTTCCTCATCCACCCTCCCTCATCTCTTTCCTCCTCTCCTAAAACCTAATGTCTTCTAATAGGTATATGATACCAAGTATCAACCAAGAACATGCTTGTCTTATGAGAATAGACCAGTTTCATTTTATATATGAAGTTTACTAAGAGTTAAAAGGGTATTGCAGCGTGGCTGCGTACTTTCGTTAGAAGATGCAAATAAAAGAGAGAATTTTGAATGGACAACAAAAATAACTCAATTTTATTCTATGGGCTATTGGGGGAGGTGGAGATGGGGGGGGGGGGGTTAAGGAAGATGTGAAGGACAGGGTGGACGAAGGTCCAGATGGATAGTAGAGGGAGAGGAGAGGGTGAGAAGGAAAAAGTGGGGAGGGAAGAAAATGAGGAGGAAGTGGTGATAGCAATGAAGGTTGGAGAATAGGAGGAAGCGAGGAAGATCCCATTAAAAATAATGGGTTCTTTGTTACAAAGGATGAGAAAAGAGAAAGGAGAAGGGCATTATGGGATTTTACTAATTTTTCTAGAGAAATATTGTATACATGTCTTGATTTAGATGCTTTTGGGTTTAAAGGTAAATACTGATAGCTATTTGGGTGTATGAGCACAAATAGAAGTACATGGGTTCAATAATAAAGTAGGGTAAACCTTTGGGTTCTGTTAGAATTAATATAAAACTATAATTCTCGATCTTCACCATAACTTCGGAGTTTTTGTGTAATGATTAGAGGGACTAAATTTAAGACGGTATCAGAACAATCCAAGTTTAAATCTTGCTGGCCACGAATTTAATGCGAATTTTAAAAAATTATTACTGCTGCATGAATCCAGTCTGAAAGCCCATAAAAAAGGACTCTCAACTTGTGGGGGTATATGTTAGAATTAATATAAAACTATAATTTCTCGATTTTCACCATAACTTCCGAGTTTTTGTGCAATGGTCAGAGGGGCTAAATTTAAGAGGTTTAAAGGCAAAAACTGCTTAGAAATAACTTCTAAGACAAATTTGATCAAACATGGCCTTTTATTTTGTTTTGTTTACGGACCCAACGGATTTGAGACAAAGGCTTTGTTGTCGTGATAGTAGTAGTTGTTGTTGTTGAATACATTTATATTGTCGATAACCTTCATCAGAGGTATTAAACTTATAGGAATTGTATCATTAGATTATCATAGTGCAACAATAAAGCATGAACCAAAACCAAGTTTTCAACTTTCAGAAGGGAAGTTTCACGGATGCAAGGGTGCAAAGATTCTAAGCCCCAAGTTGAACTTAGTACTACCCCTTTATCCAGAAGAGAGTGCGATGTTTTCCAAGTTTGGTATGGCTAGAAAGGTGTCTCATATTATCCAAACTAAACATTGTAATGAGTAACATACGAACATAAATCTATATACTAAAGTTAGAGGGAATTTCACAATAGCTATGCACTGTCTATAGCTATAGTAAAAACCCTTTACCTTAGCTTGTATATATATATATAAAAGAGAGGGTTTTTTTACCATAAATCCAAAGTATAACCCCACTTTATTTTTAAGCCCTCGTCCCCCATAGTTTGTATGTTTAAAATTTAATTATTAAAGGGTTTTTTGTTTTACTACAAACCCAAAGGTATAATCCAATTTATTTTTAAGCCAATCCACTTATAATATCAATCCTAAGACAAAATGTTTCATCAATTTTAATAAAATAATATAATAGAGTATAGTATAAAGCATTTTTTACCTATAACCCCAAAGTATTACCCCACTTATGTTTAAACCACCCACCGCCAAAATCACCTTTAGACACAAACTACTCTAATTAATCATTTTTAAATTCAGTTTGTATTTCATCAATTTGATAAACATTGTAGTTTGAGACTGTAGACAGGTTTTTTGCCTATAAACCCAAAGTCTTCCCACTATTCACTTTCAAACTCATCCACTTCCAAAAACCACCCAGAATATTTCTTCAAAATAATTTTAAAAGCATTTTGCATTTTAGAAGTTTGGTATATGCTGTAAATTATGATATTTTCTTACAACTTTCTATATTTTTTTTTTGTTTTAAGTGGTTAGGTATACAATGTATTATGAACCAAATGCTTAAACCATTTTATTTATATTTTTTGTTTAAGTGGTTAGGTATACAATGTATTATGAATCAAATGCTTAAACCATTTTATTGTCTTTCTCAAACTTATTTCATGTAAACCTACACTTTTGTTCCTATTTATTTTTAGGTCCATCTACCTTCGAAAAGGGTATTTTTCTTATAAACACAAAGTTTTGCCCCCATTTATTTTAAGGCCGCCACTTCGTAAAGCACTCATACACACAAAAAAAACTCATCCGAATTATTTTTAGATCCATTTTCTTAACAATTTGGGATACGGTGTAAGCAGTGGATCCATGGTTTATGAAAGTGGTGTCCTCACATAATTCACAATTTTTAAAAAAAAAAATACAATGGTGCTTGAAGAGATTTCATATTTGAAAAGAGTACATAATTGCATCATTAGTAACACTATCAAATGCACTTTTCTAAATATATATCACTAAATGATCATTGAACCAATCATCTCTTTGATTGATAACACTATCGATCATCGTATTATGAGTAACACTATCAATCATTCCTTAGAGGAAAGCAAAGGCGAAGCAATGATATTTATCCATAGTTGGCACTAAAAAGCCAATCACTGTTTCAATACTAAAATATTTTCATTCTTAGAAAACAAATGCATTTCCATGACTTTTGTTTGACTTTATTTAGGAATTGCTTGGTTGTGATTTAACTGAGATGGATATCACTATTTCAGATTTACTAAGAATTAAATGGTTGTAATCAAAAGAAGTCAGTGCCGTCACTTTATATGTATTAAAAAATTAAATGTTTAGAGTTTAAGGTGGAAAAGACCACTTAAGGTATAGTAAACTTCAAGAATTAATTATTTTTGGGTGAGACATAACTCATAAGAGATCGGTTAGAAGATACATATAAACATAGGTTGAAATGTTGAATAGTAACTTATTAAATAACTTTTTCCGAATTAAACTAGGGCACTTGCCCAACCTTAACTCATTATAGATCCGCACCCTCGAAGCAGAGTGGTGTCACGTGACACCACTTCCTCCAAGGTAGGTCCATCCTTGGGTGTAAGTTGCTATATTTTGTTATTATTTGCCATATTTATATTGTAAGTGGTTAGGTCTACTTTTAAACCAAATGCTTAGAATTTTTTTTTTTTTGTTATTTTCAATCTAATTTGGCGGCATCGCGCATGTCAATTTTTCTCATTGAGCAGAAAGGTTTGCAATGAGTAATGTACCACATCACTATGCTACAAAAGGGTTTAGTTTCATCCACATTTTATTACTTTCAACCCAGCAGATCTACCTTTTTATAATAAGCCAGAATACCAGCCATGATTCTCACCATGTGCCAAGTATGCAAGCTAAGCTACATTAGCAAAGCATGATGAGAAAATATTTCCAAGTCAGATTAAAATAGGAAAGGATAAGATAACTCTAGACCGACTTCTATTAACCAATAAACCACAAAGATACATACCAATCAATCTTGAACCTAAATTAATAGTTCTCAACACAAATTGGCTTAGCAGATAAGCACCTGGGAAACTCAATGCAAGGCCAGTACAACAACCTGCTACTCCCGCATTGATCACTGCAAATAAGATATTTCATCAAGCTCCCAGGAGTAAGAAAATATTTCAATTATAATCAAGAAAGCAGAGAAAGATTTAAAAAGAAAATGATGTCAGACCATCATCCTTTCCACGCACTCTCTTTAAGAAGCAGACAACCAAACTGTGAACACCAGATAAAACTGCAAATGTCTGCATTTCACATATCAAGGAAGTGTATCAGGCATCCAAGATCGGATAATGAGAGGTCCTCCATGCTATGTCTTTGTTATAAGAAAATCATAATTCTTTGTTATAAGAAAATCATAATGACCCCCATTACAGAGATACAGTACCAACCTTAGCAGAACTTCCTGCATCTGCAAATGAGCCCTTGAATCCTTTCTTTTTTATCAAGCCTGTTCCTGAAACACATAAACACAGACAATATGAGGTAAACTATGATCACTAAAGGTGAAGAATTACTGCTTAAAGAAAAAAGAGAAATCATAGTCTACTATATAAGTTCAATGCATAATAGTAGCAATACCATATTAACTTAACTAATGTATTTTCACCAATCATCGGAAAAGTGTTCTAACAAGCAACAAAGTTTGCATACATGCTTAAAGGATAACAGAAGGAATTCTGATGAAACGGTAGGTGTCTGTATAAGAAATGGTTTTTCAGGTTACAGGTCATACCAAGTTTTAAATCCAAACATTTATAGGTATCACTGGGTAACCTAAACTAAAACTGAAAAAAAAACAGAATTCAGTTTCGTCCCCCCATGGATCAATACCAACAACATGAAAAACTTAAGTAACAGTTTGTTGAACAAAACTATTGGTTGAAGCTTCCAAATTAGGAACCCAAACAATTTCTTGGTTTAATAGTATATAACTTTCTGTACCAAATTATAATGGATTGCGAATGTTCTAAACCATATATAAAGGTAACAAAATGTTAAAAATCATCCATTCTAGGGCTGCTTGATGGACAAGTAAGAAATCGAGAAAGCAATTTTCTAATATTCAAAATTAATCATGTCCAGTGGCTTGGATCTTCCACTGAGTAGTAAAATAGATAAAGGTAACAAAATGTTAAAAATATATAAAGGTAACAAAATGTTAAAAATCATATATAAAGGTAACAAAATGTTAAAAATCATCCATTCTAGGGCTGCTTGATGGACAAGTAAGAAATCGCATATATAAAGGTAACAAAATGTTAAAAATCATCCATTCTAGGGCTGCTTGATGGACAAGTAAGAAATCGAGAAAGCAATTTTCTAATATTCAAAATTAATCATGTCCAGTGGCTTGGATCTTCCACTGAGTAGTAAAATAGATAAAGGTAACAAAATGTTAAAAATATATAAAGGTAACAAAATGTTAAAAATCATATATAAAGGTAACAAAATGTTAAAAATCATATATAAAGGTAACAAAATGTTAAAAATCATATATAAAGGTAACAAAATGTTAAAAATCATATATAAAGGTAACAAAATGTTAAAAATCATATATAAAGGTAACAAAATGTTAAAAATCATCCATTCTAGGGCTGCTTGATGGACAAGTAAGAAATCGAGAAAGCAATTTTCTAATATTCAAAATTAATCATGTCCAGTGGCTTGGATCTTCCACTGAGTAGTAAAATAGATATTTTTCTAGTGATATCCCCTGCATGGACATCTTATTAAACATTAAAAACTGACTAACAAGGAAGTCATAAATTCAGAATAATGAAAATTTCACCAAAGCAAGATCTCTTTGTATAAATGTTTTAACTTTTAACCAAGTCAGGCCAAGTTGCTCTTGAACTAGCACAGTTTGATGCCATTGAACTTAGAACAGAAAACACTTCAAATGAGGGGAAGATCTTAATTTCTAGAAAACTTGCTTTTGTTAGCTGAAAATCCTTCATCATAAATAGCAATACAAATTCTTAAATGTGCTAGTTTACTCTTACCCTTCTAATTTGCACATAATCTTCATGCAACTAGTCATGAATATGCCTACGACAATGCATATACATGCATAATGCCTGCCAGACAGGTGCATTTGTAGAGTAAATAAAAGAAATATGGGCTTTGCACAAGCAGGAGTGGGACACACACTGAACACACTTGCTTAGATCTTGGATTAGTTAGGTCACTTTGACCTAACATATTTTCAGAAGTAATATGATAGAGCGATTAAATCAATGAAGTTTGTTATGGCCCTAAGCATAATGTTCATAGGTAAGTTCAATATGGATAGATAAGAAATGCCAATTGTATTATAAAGTCTATTAAATGTAATGACAACCCTGAAGCAAAATTATCCTGTTATATTTATCAACCCTTTGCACCAGTACATAACAAGCCTTACTTGGAACCTTTGCGTAATCCTCTCCATGTGCCAAAAACAATGGCTGAGAAAGTTAGTCCATAAGAAATTTATAGTGTTGTTAGTCTATAAGAAATTTAAAGTGTTGTTATATTTCCAGATACCACTAACAAGTTTTACGTTTAATCATCCATAGTCCTTGTACACACAACACACACATCTCTACGAGATGGGTTGATTGGATCTATATTTATCACGTAATTGGACAATCATGCCTATCATTTAATTGCTTGGATAGCTGGTTATGTAATTAAATACTACTAGGATCGTTAATCACTTCCAATACTTTCCCTCAATTGAAATGACGTATTTCAGTGATGTGATATAAAAAAGTCTTGATCATTTGACATAACAGAGTTATTCCTATGTTTAATATCTTGATCACTTAAAGAAATGAAAGTTTGCAACGTATCAGGCAAGTTGTATGGGATAACTGTATTCCACTTGACATTTTATTCTTGAAAATATTAACTTGTGCATATTGAGCAAGCTGTCTTGTTTAAAAATAAATGAAAATATACAACTTAGATTGACAAAAAATGTTAGAAGTGACCAATAATCCAATTAGTATTTAGTTACATGATCTCTCATCCAAACAATTTAAACATAGCTTGAAGGTCCAATTACAAGATATATACAGTGACCAGTGATCCAATTAACCCCTACGTGATATAATGTGTCACAATGTCCATGTTGTATCATATCTTTAGACCTAATTAAATGTGCACAGTAACTATTCTCATACCCCTCTTTCATCAATCAATGTCAATTTCCACTTATAAAACGTTTCTACAAGAATATCCAAATTAAACCCTAAAACCCACAATTCAAGAATCGGCGTTCCATTGATTCCCATAATAATAATAATAATAACCCAAATTTCTAGCGGAGTACTCTTGCTGACAAATGAAAACAAATGTTACATGCCTAAAAGATTATCCATAGCTAACTGAATCAGAGCAGGATCCTACCATAGCCGAAGATGGATCCCATGAAGGCCCCGCCGGCGGAGTCGCCGGCGAAGCGAAGGAGGCAGACGAGGGGAGCAGCGGGAGGGACTCCGTTCGGGCTAGGGTTAGGGTTTAGGGAGTCCATAGAATCGCTAGGGTTTCGATCGACGCTCTTCTTGTCGAAGTTCGGGAGTGACGGATCGGGGGGGAGCATTCGTCTTTTTTTTTCTTCCCTGTCGCTCTCTCGGCCTCCGTCTGTGTTATCTATAAACCCGAGCGCACGTGACGTTACACTGATCCGGCCGATCTCAGTTCTTCTCACAGGGCCCTCTTGATTCGACCTCTCGCGTTGGATTTTGATAGATGTTAGGGTTTAGTCTCTGAGACTTTTATTATGGGAATATCTACAGGTTGAGAGGGACGATGATGCGAGTTCTACGCACTATGACTTTAACAACAGCGAGATCAAAAGGGGACGGTTTTAATTTGAATACGAACAAACAAACTACAGGTAACCTCTGCCACACCTCCGTCAGCAACCCTCGCGTTCCTCACAGTGGAGGGAGCCCCTGCATGTAGAGGAGAGGGGGTGTGACGGAGTGGTGGCCAGAGGGTGATGCTGTAGCGGTCCCCTTCTGAATAACAGGTCGAGCAGGAGCTCTGCGGCGTCTAATCGTATTCAAAATTCAAAATGTTTGGTTAAATATTGCAACATCAAAAAAAAAGTTATTTGCAAAATCAGAACGGGCTAAAAATAGGAAATTTGAAGTGCTGACTCCGCAACAAGAAGTGAAAGCATAATGTGGTTAAAGCAATTGTCATTCTAACCGCTTCTGACTGAGAACACCTAAAATCGATCGAAAGTTGGACCATTCAAAATTACAGGTCTAAATAAGTTTTTAATGCATCCCCTGCTTAATTTTTAATGTGGGTTTTGGTAAAGATGCCGCTCTGATTTATCGGACTTGGATAATCCGCCGCGCATTAATTTTTACACGTGGGATTCTAATGATTGTTAGTTGGGTATCCATACTTAAAGCGTAAGTATCACTAATTTCATTACATAGACATTCGTTTGGCAAGGCAACACGAGCTGCATGCTCAATCCTGATGTCATTAAATATTAGTCTAGAGCTTGAGCATTTAAACAACACCCACATCGATTAGGCTGTTGAGAGTAATTCACGGTCGATGTTAACTTGTTCATAAGATGTATACAATTGATCTCGCTCTTTGATCTCTGGTACTGACGTCGATTCGACTATAAGAAGTGATCTTCAAACAAATTTGAAGTTGCTTCTCACTGATCATATATAATCGATGTTCCACCATTTATTCACCGATCTTTGAATCAACCAAATGTTTGTTATCGACAGGTTCTTCTGGATATGGCATCAAAAAAATGACTCAATATCCTAAAAGAACGAGGCAACATGTTCAACAGATTGGAGGTCAATTTACCTGTTGACATTAGTCGTTTCCCAAGGCAGAGATCCGTTGCTGGCAACTCCAAAGTTACCTGCATGAAGATAAATATCAAAAGTTATAGGCATCTCGTGATCTTACAGAGAGTGATTAAGTTGTTAAAGGATGTAACCTCTTTAAAGACTTCACTGTAAGAAGCATCCTTAAAACCCTGCATCCATCCAGAAGTTAGTAATACTGTGAGATTAGCTACAAAGCATCTGAATAATTGCACAAAAAGAACAGACAGAAAGCCAAAGAGGCTTAAATGACCAATTTGCGAAAGAGTCCTAGTGATGCTGTGTTTGTTTCTCCGATTTTGACACAAAATGTCTGGATTCCATATTTGTCGACTGCAAATTCCATCATCATCAATACTGACTCCTTGCCAAGTCCCTTTCCACGGCTACACTAAGAGGTCATAAAAGAGTCAGTGGCCTGAAAAACTACAGAAAGTAGAAACTTAAAAGACAGTAAGGGGTTGTTTTGTTGCTTTTCTTCATTTTCCAAATACATCTTTCCTTCACCTTCTGGTGTTTCCCTCACTTTCTTGGAAGAGTGCTTCTTGTGTTTGTTTCGTCAAAAAACATGGATCATAGTTACTTTCCACCACTTTCATTAGTTTGGTTCAATTTGAAAAGACAAGAAAGTAGTTGAAGTGTGAATTGATTCCCTTATTTTCTAGTGTTTGGTTTAGACTAAGACTAAAAAAAAGAAGAAGAAATCATGGTTGTGATCACCATGATGTACTTACCGCCCATATATCGTTGCCAAACATAAATTGAACGGTGAACATACCCACCATTTGAGGGACTAAATTAAAAATATGAACATTTGAAGGAGAAATTTCAAAGTGACTAAAGATTTGAGGGACTAGTTTTAAATTTAACGTAGTAATTTACAAAATGTTTACAGATTTGAGGGACTAATTTCAAGTAATTATGGACATTTAAGGGAGTAATTCCAAACATCTAAAGATCTAAGAGACTAATTTAAGTTTGATGAAGTAATTTACAAAATATTAATAGATTTGAGGGAATAACTGCAAGTTTTTATTAATTAACTGACTAATATCAATATTTGAGTAGTAATTTACAAAATATTTAAAAGATTTAAATCCTCATTTCATGAAATTAAAAGTGATTATTTTGGTTATGCTCAGATTTCTTCATTATTATATGATATTTTAAGTGTGATTAAATACAAATGAGGGTATGGAAGAGCAACCATTGGTAAACTATGAGGTACTTGTGTACAATTTACCCATGGATATGTCATATGTCCAAACCTAGCAAATAAGCTCTCCACCACCAGCCCCAAATTCCCAACATAATTCTAACACATCCCTTCCTCCAAATTAAAAAAAAAACCTTGGAACAGCGGTGGGAGGACTGCACCTTCATCCTTGCGAACCCACATTAAAAAAATCCACCAATGCCCGCTTCGCCACCCTCAACCTCAATAACAACAATCCTCTCACGCTTCGAGCCCACAAAAAGTCCTCAAAACTTTCTGCCTCCTCAAAGCCCACTTTGACGGGAGAGCGCGGAGGGGAGGTGATTGTAACCTCAACTCCTTTTCTCCCTTTGTTGCAGCGGAAACACAAAAAAATGAGATTCGATTTTTTAATTCGAATGTAATAGTTTTCCGCTGAAATCGGGGGTTTTGGAGAGGAAATTGGGTTTTCATTTTGTGAGACACGGCCACGCATTTTTCTTCATAATTTCTTTTTTCTTTTTGCAAAGCAAACAACAGAAAATGAAGAGTTCCTGACATTTTTAGGAGGTTTTCTTTAATGTCAGGTACTTTTTCGAGGTTTTCATTTTTTTTCCCAACCAAACAGCCCCTAAGGGCGTTACTATTTTATTTTACTTCATATTAATTTAAAACTTGTGCATTTCCCCATATAGGAAACATAATTGAAGTTTGCATGATTCTGTGATGTATCATGTCTCTATACTCTATTAATGTGGGAATAGGTATCATTGCACCTTTAAGGCTTTGAGCTTTAAGCAACCATTAAAGGAAATATCACCAAATCACTAAATATTTGCTTTAAGATTTCAAGCACATTAGAGCTATAAATGCCCCTTGGTGAAGTTGTCGTACAAATTAGGCCCAAATATAACATCTTTATTATTTCTCTATACATCTTATATATAGAAAAATATAAGTTTTTATGCACCATTTTTTTTAGAGAATAAGGATGGAGCTCCAGACCAGGAGCTCCAGCCACTACATTACCCCAAAAGAGCTGATTAGGTAAGTTTTTGATGTACATCTTATATATAAAAAATCATCCAGTGTTGACAAAGAAAAGTCATGAAGCTCATGCATCAACCATGAGGGCTGTGCATTTTTCACCACAAAGGCCCAGCTTGTACCTGACAACCAATATCGAAAAACACAGGCATGAAATGAGCCTGCCATATGTTCATGCATCCATAGAAATTAAAGATTTCAGTTGAAAGGAAAGAGGGTGTGGGTTTAGACGTGAATTGTGTTGGGAGGCAATATATAGATAAAAATTATTTTAGGCATAGAATTCTTTGAGGGATCTCTTTGCTGGATCATATTGACTATTGACCTCATTAGCCGATACATCTTGGTTCACATCTTCTGGTTTAGGCCTTTGCCAAATTCCTAGCCAATGGTACACTCATGGTTTCTTGGTCTTCCATATAGTTAGGGTCTTCACCAGATATTCTACGTTATAAGGATGGAAAAAATAGCTCGCATTACTAGATGCGAAAGCAACTTTTAGCCAAATTCTCTCTTGCTAACTATGAAATGATTTGTTCATATAAAGTAAAATAAAGATAAGAACTCCCCCTTATAGAGAAAAATGATCAAGGTTTTAAATGTCGGGTGTCGGATTCATGTCGTATGGCTAAAATTCATGTCGGATAGCGAAAATCGGGGATATGTCAGGGAACATAAAAAAATATCGGATTGCCATATCGGGTGGTTTGCATATGTGTAATATAAATATCATAAATAAAATCTAAATAGACTTAAAAATTTCTATTGTCTAAACATATAAAAGAGTAAATAACTTATGATGTTTAGGGTTGGTGTTAAAGGAAAGGGGTGAGAAATCTGATATTACCGGTTAAGAAGAGAGAAGATCGCCCGATAATGATGTCGAAGGAAGAGCTCGGAGAAGAGACCGATGAGATGTCGAAGGAGAGAGAGAAGATGAGCGACGGATATTACTTCGATCTTTTTTTCTATTTCCCTTAACTTATCGGTTTTTGTCTTTGGAAATAATAGTAAGACAATCAAGAATTTAAACTCAAATCTGATTAGACAAACATAACCCAAAAAAACCCAGCCAATTTTTCAGATTAAAAAATCGGCCGATATAACCGATATATCACCCGACATATCCGACATATCCTCCGATATATCCGACATGAACCCTGAAAACGCAATCGCATTGAAAAGTTCCATATCGTGTAGGTTGACCCCTAAATCTAACATGTCGGTCATATCGGGTGATATTTAAAACACTGAAAATGATTTCAAGATGATTAACCAGTCCATCTTAATTCACACATCCAAATTTGCTCCTTTCTCGAATTCTTAATGCCCACTTGGCCTGCCTTCCAAGGCTCCAACCTACCTACACAAATGCATAAATACACTCAAGGGAAAGAAAATTCTGGTCCCGCCATCTCAAAATTTATATCCCCTGTCGATTAAACTTCTCATATGAGGACTCTACAAAACCCCAGCTTGGAGTTCTTATCCCATTAAGATATTCATTCAGTACCACAGGACAATATCAACTATTAGACATGCATATATAACTCGTCCTTCAGGTCTTAGGTTAAACAAGTAGAAAATAGAATATCTGAATAATTGTGATAAATACAGAAACTGCCTGAACTACAAAGCATGTTAGGCATGAATATAAAGCAAAGCTTTCTACGTAGAGCACACTAGTAGATTGTGTAAAAAAAAATTAGCACCTAAATTTAGATAGTAAAGCTCAATATATTCCAAGATAGAAAGTCTTAGCAGAATTTTGTTACTTATAGACAACTGATGAGTGGTAATGTCCAACATCAGTAAATGTATTAGGACAAAATAAGTATTTTTCAGAATAAAAATGAGTACCTTTTTGGCTCAGCAATCATGATCTCAACCTCCGCTAGCAGTAGGTTGTCTGGATCATTCATATATATGTTCACATCACCAGCCATTGCTGAAAGAAATGGAATGCTGAATCAACAACTGGATTGGATAAAGACTACAAGTCCTGGTTAATAACAAGCGGATAGCCTAATCCATTACTTCATTTCAAGTTTTCATTGGCCTATTAATCATGCTTGACATTAAAATGTGGTCCCCAGCTCATCCTGGGTATGCCTCATTCTGAGCCATGTAAGAAATTTATACTATCCTCTTAGTTTGCTTATTAGCCCATTGTATACTTTGTTCACGAGCTTTCCTTTGTAGTTCCTAATTTAATGCTAGTCCACCTGAAGTTATAAAACAAACACATGATTCGCTTTACGTTACTTATGCATGTTCAGACATTCCCAATAGTTTGCAAATTGCTTGAATAACAGTGGATTGACAAATTTGATTAAGCAGCCAGAAGCTAAAACAATGTGGATAAGGAAGTGCTGATGACCAGCCAATTCATGGAACTTAAACAACTGAGAAGATTCGTGAATTGAAAGTGACCACAGTTCAGGAGGGGAGATTAGCATAAGTCTCATAGCACCATAGGCAGAGGCTTTAAAAGGAGAAAACCAAATCTTTCAGTCAACATGGAAAATTCATCCCATCAAATTTCCGCCAAAAAGGCAAAAGCAGACATGAAAATGAATTTGAAGTAAAACAATAAATCAAGCCTGGCCCACCAACGCATTAAGAACTCCTTATCATAAGAGAATCTTAAATTGGTTAACCTGTTAGGTAAGATGTATTTTAAATTTTTGTGCTCTTATATGGTGTTTGGAATAGAGAGGACTGCTTTTTTTCTTTATAGGTATTAGTAAACCCCTCACCGTATGAAGTTTACTCCTTTATCCTGTCCAGAAGGTAACTCTTTTACTATTTTTGTGTTTGGAAAATTAAGAGGGGTTAATTCACTTATTCCATGTGTTGCCTTTATTGTGTTTGGCTGGCTAAAGAGAGGCCGAGGAGGTAGCTCTCCTTCACCTCTAACATTCCACATTGCCAAACAATCGGTTAACATCTCTCTCTCAATGAGATTGCTAACCTACTATCTGAAGGGCAGTTACTTCAAATGCAAAGGCAATCCCTACAAGTGTATTCCCTTAACAAAAAACAAGTCACAGAAGGCGACAACTTGAGGCAAAAAATGTTTTCCCCATAACAATAACAAAAACTGAAGAAAGATAATGCCAAAAATTCACATATAAGTGGGTAATTAGGTGATTTTCAAGTAAAGCTAGAAAGAGTAACAAGTAGAGATCCAAGTAGAGCCTGGGACGGCAACACAATCCTAGATATGCATCCCATATTATTGCCCATTAGAAGTCCTTACCAACCATTTCTTTAAATGTAAATTACAACTATCTTAAAAAGAACATTAACATGATATTTATTCACCATAGAAATATAGACATGATCCATACTATAATCACATGGAACTATGTTTGTTCCGATTCACAGAAAGGGAACGAGAGCGAGGTACGCCACTTATTTGGAATTGAATACGGAGGGGTAGGTTTATATGGTAGGGAACGTTGTATGCTTTAGGTTCAGTTTTTAAATGTAGGAATCTGAGTACCTTAATATACAATTTTCTACAAGAGTCAAATTCAATAATTAATAACAGTAAAAGAATTTTCAAGTTGCAATTAAGGCGCGTTTGTTATTTATTTTTCTGAAAATGGTTGTTTTTTGCTCAAAATAATAACTAATTTGAATTCTTAATCGGGTAGCCAGGTACGCGAGCCAATTCACTAGTGCACCGCGTTTTGGGATGATTGAACCCAGGCCGTGTTCCTACATTCCCGACATCTACCCAAACAGCACCATATATCCCGGACTTGCACGCATGAGCATAACATTGACAATTTCCCAATCCTAACCAAATACCAGCTTGTTATGTCACATAACTTTTGCCAATATGAATAAGATTCACAGAATTCCTTACATGTAAGCAGTCTGTTACTTGGATCAACCAAATACCAGCTTGGCATGTCATATAACTTTTGTCAATATGAAAAAGATTCACAAAACTCCTTACATGTATGCACTCTGTTACTTAGAATTTGGTGAACGAGAGAGAGAGAGGAGATGGTGACATCACATCTTCTTAATGGTTGCATCCTTGAAGAATCCTCCCAACTTCTCGCAGACTATTATGGGCCTAAAGGTTTCACACAGACTACAGGAATGGAATAAAAAATGTAGGGCGTAGATGAAGCCTGCAGGAGAAGATGATATGATTTTTGATAGGAAACTCTATTCATCAAATAGGCAAAATACAAGGGGAACATCGAAAAACCTTAATATTGCCCCAACCCAACCCTATAAATGAACAAGTTAATAATAGAAACAAGGACAAAAATAACACATTCTTACATGTATAATAGCTTATTAAATTTCACGGGAGAAATATAGCACAAGATACTAATGCAACTGATTAATTCTCAATTACCGACTTTCCCAACTAAAACCCAGCTCATAAAATCATGTCGCTTAAATTTCAAGCAAAACTATAAAAGCTCAATAAAAATATTACATTATTATTTCATGGGTACCTTCAACATGGGCATCTCCATGGACGAAACTTCCCTCCATCAACTCCTTATCCAACACAATGAATGTATGCTCTGCAACCCCAAAAAATAATAATAGATAATAAATCAAACTCAAACACTTAAAAAATTAAGCAAAAAAATCAAGAAAATAAAAAAGAAAATTATTTACTATTGGGGTCTTGGGTCCAAGAGAGATGCATTTGATACTCTTGGTCTAAGCTCAAGGGTTCGGATCCAGTGGCTTGGAGAAGAGAAGGGTCCTGCATCCATTGATGGTATTTGGGCACGTGCTCTCTCATGTAAGGAACCAGGATCACCTTCTCCCCTACCAAGCTCATGTCTTTAGCCCTTACCCTCGCTCACCGGCGGTGACTGTACTCGAGAGGGCAAGTCGGAAGGACAAATTTTCAAAACCGACCCTTTGGGGTTTTTATTTGCAAAAAACGACCCATTTCAAACTTATTTATAAAAACCGACCCCAGGGGCTGAAAACAGGTCGGTTTTTGAAAAAAAATTTCCCAAACTTCACGGGAGTTGAACTCCCGTGAAGTTTTGTTATGAGAAAAACTTCACGGGAGTTCAACTCCCGTGAAGTTTGGGAAAAAAATTTTCAAAAACCGACCCTCCTTCACCTCTAACATTCCACATTGCCAAACAATCGGTTAACATCTCTCTCTCAATGAGATTGCTAACCTACTATCTGAAGGGCAGTTACTTCAAATGCAAAGGCAATCCCTACAAGTGTATTCCCTTAACAAAAAACAAGTCACAGAAGGCGACAACTTGAGGCAAAAAATGTTTTCCCCATAACAATAACAAAAACTGAAGAAAGATAATGCCAAAAATTCACATATAAGTGGGTAATTAGGTGATTTTCAAGTAAAGCTAGAAAGAGTAACAAGTAGAGATCCAAGTAGAGCCTGGGACGGCAACACAATCCTAGATATGCATCCCATATTATTGCCCATTAGAAGTCCTTACCAACCATTTCTTTAAATGTAAATTACAACTATCTTAAAAAGAACATTAACATGATATTTATTCACCATAGAAATATAGACATGATCCATACTATAATCACATGGAACTATGTTTGTTCCGATTCACAGAAAGGGAACGAGAGCGAGGTACGCCACTTATTTGGAATTGAATACGGAGGGGTAGGTTTATATGGTAGGGAACGTTGTATGCTTTAGGTTCAGTTTTTAAATGTAGGAATCTGAGTACCTTAATATACAATTTTCTACAAGAGTCAAATTCAATAATTAATAACAGTAAAAGAATTTTCAAGTTGCAATTAAGGCGCGTTTGTTATTTATTTTTCTGAAAATGGTTGTTTTTTGCTCAAAATAATAACTAATTTGAATTCTTAATCGGGTAGCCAGGTACGCGAGCCAATTCACTAGTGCACCGCGTTTTGGGATGATTGAACCCAGGCCGTGTTCCTACATTCCCGACATCTACCCAAACAGCACCATATATCCCGGACTTGCACGCATGAGCATAACATTGACAATTTCCCAATCCTAACCAAATACCAGCTTGTTATGTCACATAACTTTTGCCAATATGAATAAGATTCACAGAATTCCTTACATGTAAGCAGTCTGTTACTTGGATCAACCAAATACCAGCTTGGCATGTCATATAACTTTTGTCAATATGAAAAAGATTCACAAAACTCCTTACATGTATGCACTCTGTTACTTAGAATTTGGTGAACGAGAGAGAGAGAGGAGATGGTGACATCACATCTTCTTAATGGTTGCATCCTTGAAGAATCCTCCCAACTTCTCGCAGACTATTATGGGCCTAAAGGTTTCACACAGACTACAGGAATGGAATAAAAAATGTAGGGCGTAGATGAAGCCTGCAGGAGAAGATGATATGATTTTTGATAGGAAACTCTATTCATCAAATAGGCAAAATACAAGGGGAACATCGAAAAACCTTAATATTGCCCCAACCCAACCCTATAAATGAACAAGTTAATAATAGAAACAAGGACAAAAATAACACATTCTTACATGTATAATAGCTTATTAAATTTCACGGGAGAAATATAGCACAAGATACTAATGCAACTGATTAATTCTCAATTACCGACTTTCCCAACTAAAACCCAGCTCATAAAATCATGTCGCTTAAATTTCAAGCAAAACTATAAAAGCTCAATAAAAATATTACATTATTATTTCATGGGTACCTTCAACATGGGCATCTCCATGGACGAAACTTCCCTCCATCAACTCCTTATCCAACACAATGAATGTATGCTCTGCAACCCCAAAAAATAATAATAGATAATAAATCAAACTCAAACACTTAAAAAATTAAGCAAAAAAATCAAGAAAATAAAAAAGAAAATTATTTACTATTGGGGTCTTGGGTCCAAGAGAGATGCATTTGATACTCTTGGTCTAAGCTCAAGGGTTCGGATCCAGTGGCTTGGAGAAGAGAAGGGTCCTGCATCCATTGATGGTATTTGGGCACGTGCTCTCTCATGTAAGGAACCAGGATCACCTTCTCCCCTACCAAGCTCATGTCTTTAGCCCTTACCCTCGCTCACCGGCGGTGACTGTACTCGAGAGGGCAAGTCGGAAGGACAAATTTTCAAAACCGACCCTTTGGGGTTTTTATTTGCAAAAAACGACCCATTTCAAACTTATTTATAAAAACCGACCCCAGGGGCTGAAAACAGGTCGGTTTTTGAAAATTTTTTTCCCAAACTTCACGGGAGTTGAACTCCCGTGAAGTTTTTCTCATAACAAAACTTCACGGGAGTTCAACTCCCGTGAAGTTTGGGAAAAAAATTTTCAAAAACCGACCTGTTTTCAGCCCCTGGGGTCGGTTTTTATAAATATTTTCAAAACCGGTCGTTTTTTGCAAATAAAAACCCCAAGGGGTCGGTTTTGAAAATTTGTCCCAAGTCGGAAACCCCTTTGGTCTTCTCCTTTCTTTTCAAAGTTCTGAAACTTGGAGGCTAGGGCCCAAACCAGGATCTAATGGGTCAGCCGACCGATGAAAGAAAATGCAGATCATAAAATCTAAGAAAGGCTAAAGCCCAAACCAGACTTTCCCTAGGCTATAAATAAAAAGGAAATAATAATTAAAAAAAATTAATGTTGGACAATTACCAGATGACCCCCGCTTAACGTTCAAAATTGCAGAGCCCCCAAGTATCGGGATTGTAACAAAAATCTCCCTTTTACTTTCGGACTTTAGCAGAAGACACCCGTTAAATTTGAGATTTTATCAAAAAACCCAACACTTTTAGGGGGATTCTCTAATACAATCTCAAAATTAAAGAGTGTTTTTTGATAAACCCCAAAAGTAAGGGCGTTTTCTGATATTCTGCAAATTAGGGGGGTTAGCCAAAGTTAAGGGCAGCTTTCTCATATTTAGCCCTTTGGATATCGCTTCCTTCGTTGACTGACGGGCAAAAAAAAGATGGGTAAGTTTTTGTAAACCCGTAAGATTTTGGCCTTTGGCACTTAGACCCAAAAAGTTTTTGAAACTCTTACTAACGCCTCGTTTGATACGTGGGAATGAAGTCAAGTAAAAACGGAATGGAAGAATGAATAGAATGGAATGTATGTGAGAATGGAATGGTCATTCTCATTCTCTTGTTTGGGTGTGTTTGTAGAATGAAACTAGAATAAAAATCAAATTCACATTCTCATGTTTGGTATCACTAGTTCACAAGTGAGAATGGAATCTCATTTTCTAATACTGCCCTTATAACAACATAGATTTTTAATAAGATAAAAATAAACATTAATGATAATAACTAAAAAAATTTATTTATGCATATGTTATATTAATCTAGGTATGTGTTATACTAATTAACTAAAAAAATTTATTTATGCATATGTTATATTAATCTAGGTATGTGTTATACTAATGCGCATGTTAACGATCAAGTGTATGTTTCGTTTATATTTTTTAAACAATTCTCACTATTTCTGCATATGTTATATTAATCTAGGTATCTGTTATAATAATACCCTTATACCTCTATATATAGTCTAGACATGATATGGTTTTGATAATTTTAATATTTTGGCCAATTTCTCAGTGAGAGTTTCCTCTTTTCATAAATATTGGGTCAAATATTTTTCAATCAAAAGTTAGATTTATTATTGTGCATGAACCACAATCAAACATGTATGCAATATGTACATATAGTTCTTTATGGTGGGAAAACAATAGCAAAAGTTCAAAAAGAATATAATATGCTGGAGAAAATAACAGACTTTAAACATTGGTGAATAAACAAAAAAAATTAATTGACCAAAAAAATATTGACATGAAAGAATTTCAATCGGCAAATAATATATAGTTTCAGTTGTATCTGTTTTTATATTAAATTGTGTTGCTCCTATGTTGAGCAATTGTGATATAATAGGCTAATGAAATATGTACCGCTAGTTTTAATATGCTACTGAAATATGTACCACTAGTTTTAATCCCTACCCCGCAAAAAAATCCTATTGTTCGAATATAATTAGTAGCTGAGAGAAAATGAGAATACGTAGTCAAAAGCCATGATTTTTAAATTGATTCTTATTATTAATAGGGTTATAATTGAAAAAAAAACCTAACTAATTTGATTCTCCCCTTGAATGGGAATGATTATTCCCTATCTTCTCACTTGGAATGTCCATTCCCACAAAAAGTAGGAATGGTCATTCCAACATCTAAAAACAAGTTTTGTTTGGTATGAGGAAATGAGAAGTGAGAATGACATTCCATTCCACCCCATTCCTGCGTACCAAACGGGGCCTAAATGCTCAATAAGTTTGGGAATAAATACTGTAAAAGTTATTTTGATTTTTTTACTTAACTAGACATCATAAAATAGTCCTTGGGATTAAGTGAAAAAAATAAAAATATTTTGAGATTTTCTAAAACTCACAAGCTTATTGAGGGTTTAATTTAGTTGAGTACCATATGACTCAAACTTATTAGATGTTTAGTGAAATTTACCCAACAAAGATATAGTTCTCTTAAAATTTTCCTGATTTGAAACTAATCAATAATAACATTTTTACAATTCTTTAAAAACCTTCAAATTTATTTTCAATACCTTGACAATGAGGATTAGGGGTACTAAACCGTATCCATATCCAGGAAATATCTGTAACCGTATTCGTTAGGATGCAGATATGCTTACTCAAATCTATAATTGATAAGATATTTTTACGGATATGATTTTATAGTGAAATATCCATATCCGTATCCGAAATATTCGAATACATATTAGTCATACCCTTATAAAAGTTTTGATTCTTAAATTATGGATTTGTGGTTAATTTTGATGATCAATATGTCTAATCTTAGCTTTTTAGTTATAATGAACATATTAACGACCTCTTTCGTATCACATGAACTATATTTTTCTCAATAATATCTAGTTTTCTCGTATCTGTTTGGTATCCGCGTGCATATCCGCATCTATATTTGTAACCGTATCCAATTTTAGCGGATATGGATATGAATTTTCCTTACCGAGGTATATCCATATCTGTATCCATATTTGAGATAGGTAGGCAGATATGAATATGGTAACCATCATATCCGAGCTGTATCCGGACTGAATGCATCCCTAACGAGGATACTACGGGACAGCTTGCGGCCCATCGCCTTTCAGGTGTGTGCAANACTCTTGAGAAAAGATTATTTAGATACTTGTCCATCAAATCTTCACTAATTATTAGCCCCTCAATCTCTTAAATTGCTCATGCATCTCTCAAAATTTTAAGGGCCTTGCAATTTGATCCGTCAAGTTAACAAGCCTTTCATTTGAGAGAAATATTTCTCCAAATCAAATGTGTCGAGAAGAATTCATGTTCTTGTAATGCTCAAAAGTTAATTTCAACACATATTTTCTTAACATGGTTAAACTCAAAATCGATCTATTAACTAAAAATTCCAACACCCACGTTCATCATCTTCTCCCATGTTCCAAAATCACACCCAACTCATTTGTGAGTTTTCCCAATGGTCAGTGCTGGACTTTTGCACATTTTAGGGATATTTTGCTAATTGAAATTGTTGGTTTAAGCGTTAACCTAACTATGGTTTTAAGAAATAAGTGCATAAACTAATAAAGAGATCAATTTGCAAACTCCTTAACATTTGAGGGATGTATGGGCCGTTTCAAATTTTTTGAGGTGATAAAAAATAATTTGGTATTATTTTTTTTAGGGTGCTTCTGCTTATTTTTTTAAGAAGTAGTCAATAATGATGTTTGGTAAAAAAAATCATATTTATTGAAAATACTTCTGCTTTCAAGGAGATACTTTTAAAAGTAGCTTCTGTTTTTTTAGGGTGTGTTTGGATTTCAATAGGGTTAAGGGAAGTTAAGAGAAACTATGTGAGAAAAGGGAAGTGAAGGGAAGGGAGTTCCCTTCCCCTTGGTTACACTCCGATTTGAAGGGTAACAAATTTTATACTATTAAGGGGTGAACCAAGGGGAACTAGGGTGAATAACTTCACCTTCTAAATGTTCCAAACAAGGTGAATGGTTCCCCTAACTTCCCTTCTCCCTTATTCCCCTCAATCCAAACAAGCCCTTAGTTTATATATCATATATTGATTGTATCTTTTAATGCTTTTTTTAGTTTATATATCATATATTGATTGTATCTTTTAATAATGATCGTTAAGTACATTTCTACCAAATATCTTAAGTTCCTTTTAAATAATTTTATATTTTGATGGGTAATTATTATGAAACCACTCTCAAGGTTGGTCATTTATTATGAAATCCCAACCATTATCTTTTTATTACAAAACATCTTGCCGTTAACAAAGACATTAACGACCTACTAAAATATCATGTCAAGTTCAGATGTTTTTTAATATTCCATAAATGCCCTCCTCTCCTTCCTCTTAACCTAGCTTCTCTTCTGGTCTCATTTCATTTTACACAATTCATGTTTGGATCTTGAAGAGAGTTTCAATGTTGGAGATGAGTACAACTACGGACTTTCTCTTGTTCTTTCTCCTTCTAAGATCACGTCTTCTTTCTTTATCTTTTCAAGTTTCAAAAACATCATCCAAATCTCTTTTTCTAAATCCATGAGCTGTCAATAATGGAAATATCGACATTTCTAGTTGCTACTGTAATTTGAGGGCTGTGGTTCTCATCCCATATAGAAGGGATTCCTTGCTTGCCTCAAGTTCATTTTTCTTGCCTCAAGTTCATATACACGCCTTAAATTTGATTATTTGATGGGTACCGGTCCATCCCCATGATAAATTAATATGGATTTAATCCATGGAGATTTTGTGGTTGGCTACATGCATGCATTGATAGATTGTCTTTCCTCATGCATTGGGAAAAGGAAGGGCTAGTCTTTGGATTCCCCCATGCAATGAATGTGGTGTACCCAAGATGCATATCCTCTCTATAAATAGAGGGGAGATGGTGAAGGTTGAAAATAAGAAACAAGAACATGAACCACATACAATCTGTAATCCTCAAGTGAGTTTGAGAGAAAGTTGTAATTCTCAAATGAGTTTGAGAGAAAGTGATCCTCAAGTTAAGTTATACCAACTAGAGAGAAGACCATTTGTAAGCTTTCATTTGATTATAGTGGAAACGGTGAAGAAGAGGGGGGTGAGGACGTAGGCTCAATTTGAGCTGAACCTCGGTAAATCTTGTGTGTGCAATCTCTCTTTGTGTTTTTTTCCTTCTATTTTTGTTCTCATCTCATCACAAAGACGGGAAAGGTCTTGTTGTACCGTTTATTTCCCATCAGTGGTATCAGAGCGAGGTTGCTAATCTTCTTGTGTTGAGATGGAGACTCCTATCAGCGGTATTCAAATGATCAGTTTGAATGACCGCAATTGGATGATATGGAAGGTGAAGATAATGGATATTCTATATTGCAAGGGCCTCTATGCACCAGTTGAAGGTGAATCCTCCAAGCCAGAGTCCATGTTGGCGGATGATTGGAAGAAGCTCGATCGGAAAACCATTGGCACCATTTGGCAATGGGTGGATGACACTGTATTCCACCATGTGTCAAAT